ATTTTTTTATTTTGAATATTTTGATAATTATTTTATTTTTTCATTTTTTTTTACCTGAAAAAAAGTTGTTATTTTAGATGTTCCTTTAGCAGCATTTTTTAATATTCTTTGTTTTTGTCTAATAGTCTCTTCTGCTGCACCAGTATATATCAGAGGTCTACCTTTAGATTCCAAAGTATCACTTTTGTTGCTAATTCTAATTAATTTTGAAAATGCAGATTCTAATTCTGTAGTTAAAGATAAATCTCTCCAATCATCATCAGATTCAATGTTTTCATATATTAACTCTTCAATTTCTAATCTAGATTCATTTTCAAATACCTCCTTATCAATATATTCATCTGTAATAGGCTCAATAATTTTCAATTTTTTGGTTTCACGTGCTTTTTGTAAATGTTGATTTCTTTTACTCTGTTTAGGCATTTTTAACAAAAAAATAAGTATATGGTAAAGAAATAAATTAATAAATTTGAATTAAAAAAAATCGCGTTAAAAAATCGCGGTTCCATAAAAGGAATGATTCTCATGAAAAAATTTCACCTAATGGCGCAGCATTTGATGTCTATAGATGATTGGCACCATATGCATAATATAATTATATTATAATTATCAAAATATAAAAATAATCACCTTTTGTTATTATTTTCTTATAAGTTTCTTTTGAAGAACCTTTGACTTGTTGTGCTAGACATATCTTAGCAACCCAAGATGATTTTAAAAGCAAAAAACCCTTACTTCAAGAATTAATTGAAGCAAGGGGTCATAAGATCATCTTCTATCCAAAATTTCATTGTGAGCTTAACTACATTGAAATATATTGGGGGGCTGCTAAACAGTATGTTAGGCAACATTGTAATTACACATGGAAAGGTCTTCAAGAGAATGTTCCCAGAGCATTTGATTTATACTATTGAAACAAATTAGAAAATATGCAAGAATTGCTGCAAAATTTATGGACTGTTACAGGAAAGGTTAAAAATGTTACAGACCGAATATATTGTAAAAAAATATAAGTCTCATAGAAAGATCCCAGATAATGTTGTAGAAGAAATTGATGAATTAATATAAATGCATTTTTGGAAAGTCACGTGATAAAAATCATGAATGTCATCTTTGTATATAATGAGTGATAAAAAATTTTTGCACAGAATTTGATGTGTTAGAGTGTACCATATTTTTTTTTATAGAGGTTGCATTGTAAAATAAATAAAGAACTTTTTAATAATATTATTGTTAAATGATTAATTATAAAATGAATATAATGAATACAGGAAAAAAATCTAAATTTATATTAATTATTTGTCTAATGTTCAGATACAGCAATACATAAGTGCACCATTCATCTGACAACAAAATAAATGTTATATTATTACAAGCTTTTTTTGTTTTTTTAGATGTCAAAGAATAGGCCAGGGACTTCAGTTTTCCGTTTATTTCCAAGTTTCTCTTTTAAATAAATTTTCCACTCAGTCCATAAAGGTCCATTTGCAAATATAACAAATAACCAAATACCAATTAAACTAGGCAAAAGCTCTACCAACATCAATAAACTATATGGTGGCATTCTATCCAATGATACTTCATAATAACACTTGTCCTGTCCATTACCTGATTGAATACATTGTATCCACTTATCCTTGAAATCACTGTTATCAGGCCCTGATGCTATACGATTCAACTCTATAAAATAAAATATCCAATAGAATATTACGGTCAAAACAAGTATTATCGATAGCAGTAATGCACGCCATTGTATTTTAACCGCTTGTAAAACATCTCGACGATCTGCTCTCGTAAGTACAATATTATTTCTTTTAAGATAGATGGATTTTTTTTTGTTACTGTTAGTATCGTTTCCGCCACTATTATCATTATTATTATTGTTGTCAGATCTTGAAATAGTTGGTCGTTGAGACATCCTTGCAATATGGAAGAATGTGGCCATATGTATAAAAAATATCGGGATAACTATAACAGCCAATGGATAAAAAAATGCTCTACTAGCATTTTCCTCTTTAATGAAGCAAAGAGTTGCAAATTCATAATTGACGGACGAGGTTGCCAATGCTATCACGGTGAAAAATGCCGGAATGCCCCAGCCAAGTAAATGTAAAATAATATATCTTTTCCCAACACAATTTGAACTCCATACGGTGTGAATATGAAGATTTACTATAATTATTCCGACCCACATTGTTGTTGCAAACGATGCAAATATTATTAATGCACCTATATATTGTGTTAAAATGTGTGGTAAATTGATTAATAAATAATTTTAAACTTGTATTATATTAACGTGTGGTTAATTGATTACCTTGAATGGCACATAAAATATTATTGCTTTGAGTACTTGGATCGATATCATTTACACATTGAATCTTTTTAGGATCACCAATCGAAAAAAATACCAAAGAAGAAAATATAAATATTGCAATTGAAGTGAACAAAATCAATAAACCAGGATGTGTTCTTTTTCCAGGTAATAAAATATACGAAATCGACATAATAAGTGCCAATACAGCTGATACTACTCGGAAACTTTGCGTCACCGCGAATCCTTTTTCTAGCCAGCCATCTGGATATACCGAATATGTTTGAGGACATTTAACACAACATCCACCTACACAGAATTTTTCATGTGTTGGGGTATTGGTTGCAAGATAATATTCATCGATTATTGCCGGTGGAAAACATCTCGGTTTTAATATTAATTGATTATTGCCAAGTAGTGGTGCTTGATTGTTACATGATGATAATGATGCGGAGGAAGTTGTATCTGTTGGATAAACAACATTCAAAGGTGGTTCGTTGCTTATGATTCCAGAACAATCTTTCGGGTATAAAGGTGATGATAGGATACGTTGTAAAGGGTTGTCCTGATTGTAAGGAGATGGCGGTATAACACCGCATAAATTTATAACATTATCACAGAGTGATTTACAAGGCTTAATTACAATATTCGGTAAAGAATTTGGTGGAACTATATATATATATATATATATTAAAAATAAAAGTAAATCTTTTAATGACTGTCCCGCTCGAAAATGTTGAAAAAAGAAAAAAAGGGTAGATTTTTTAAAGAGCTTCTCACTCGAAAATGTTGAAAAAAAAAAGATATTAATTAATTACTTTGCTGTGTTGTGCTTGCTGTATCATTACATTTTGGAAATTTAATCGAACAAGCCAATCTTGTAAATGCCTCAACGCATGTTGGAATTGCAGTATTATTTATTAATGAAGCTAAATATGCTTGACCTTGAGCTACCTTGATGTCGAATAGCGAGTCTTCGATTTCATCTAATGTTAATTGGTCTGGAATATAAACCAAACTTTTCTCATCCAAGTAATTCTATATGTATACATGTATATATTATTATATTGTATATTATGATTAATGATGATTTTTTAATAATAATTTATACTTACGAAACATACACCATCTTCTTTATCATAATATTGACACTCTGTGAATCAATTAATATTATTATTAAACAGAAAATTTTACGTGCGATTAAATTAAATCCTATTTTATTTACTTACGGCTTGCATAAACACTCCATATCAATCTATTTAGCGAAGAGTATATTAATATTAATACTATTAAAAAATTATTATTATTATTTATTATTAACTTCATTGTTATTAGTTATATTAAATAAAAATATGTAAAAATATAAAAAGAATTAAAAATAAAGGAAAGAATCAAAATTGAAGAGGAAATAAAATTTCCATGTTTTTTTATCGTCATTTGTTATTATCAAAAATTTAAAAAAATTAATAATAATTAATCGGAAGAATCTATATTTGAATTAGTAAATTAAAATCTTTACTTATTTAGAAATTTTATGGTGTAAGTATGAACAAAAAATTGATTAATATTAATTACTTTCTGACAATATTTTCGTTCGTGCAACTTTGATTTTTAAAATAAATCACATGTTAAAAGACTTGCATATATAAAAAAAAAGTATACCATTTTATTTATTCTTTTTTTCATAATAATCAGAATAAATATAAAATTCTAATCTTTTTAAAGAAGCATCATTTTAAATTTGTTATATTATTGTGTAATACTGAAGAAATGGCGGCTAAAGGTATAAAAATTTTCATAATTATTCGAATTAAATTATTGATCAATCCAGGTTTACTACTATTATATTAATTATTAATCAAGGATTATGAAAAATATATACAAGAATATTTACAATTAAAATACACTTCTTAAATTCATTTTTCTTCGTCAAAATCCATAAAAAAATACCCCATGTATTTATATACTAATCTCTTTTCCTCCCCTCCTTTGAATAAGTACCACGTAATTTTAGATTAC